GAACTCCATTTGGTACAGGCACAAGGGATCATTTGTGCAAGTGGTGACACCTCAGGAAATCTCATCCTCTCTTGTGAAGCACAAGGAATACAGCCCTGGATAAGGTTATCCTCCACCATTAATTACCAGACTGATGGCTTTCATTTGACTGTTAAAGTTCAGAAACCTCAACACCTCATAGTGATTGAGGAGCACAAGAGAGGACTTGGCAAGTCACACCAGCTATAAATCAAGCTCTAGACAGTTCTCCATAACAAAACAGAAATAGCTTCTTGGTTACTTCCAAGCTGTTTTACAGGGGACAAAACTGCCAGCAGGACTCCTTTAGGAAAATTCTATAAAGCTGAGTGATTTTTTGTGTATCTCAATCCATGTCTCTTGTTGCTCCCACAACCAGTTGATACTTACCTTCACCTTGCCTCAGTAAAACCTTCCTGTTTGGAAAATGCTAAACCCTCCTGTGAGACACACAGGGCACAGAAATACCATAATGTGCTGGGTTTGGCTGGGATAGAGCTCATTTTCTTCACCTGTATAGAGCATGTTTTGGATTTGTGCTCAGCACATACAGAGATGGATTTTTTTAGTGTTTCTCATTCTGCCCCGCCAGAATGGGAGTGGGGAGGGGACACAGCCAGGACAGCTAACCCTGAGTGAACAGAGATACCCCAGACCAGGTGATGTCATGCTCAGTACAGAAAATTGGGCAAGGAGGAGGAAGAGGAAACATTTTGTGGTCCCCAGTCTCTGTTAGGTGTGTGTGTCACACTGAGCTCCTGCCTGCCAGGGGAAACAAGGAATTCATCCTTCACATTTTCAACTGCTCACTCAGCATTCTCAGAGAAGGGAACAGTAATTTCACCCTGAGCAATCTGCCCTTAATTTACAGTTCAAATGAGGCAGAAATCCTTGGCCATTTATTACCACTAAACACCCAAGAACCACAGCATGGTCACAGAGCAGTTAGGAAGTCTGAGGCAGCCACAACATGAGAGCACAGAGCAGTAACACACCAGCACAGAAAACACATTTTATTGCATGAGGAGGGTGCAACATCCTCCCCCAGGATCACCAGATCCAGCACAATTTGTGTATCAGTGCTGAAATAAATGTTCCTTGTTAAGGCAGCTGGAAATTAACACTTTACACAACATTTCAGCTGGAAATTAACACTTTAAGCAACATTTCCCATGGTACACAAGGGATCTGACACAGGCAGAACTACCTGAAAATCAAGGGAGGGTTCTGTTAAGCTTTCCAGGTGTTTATATTGAGGTTTAGAAGAAAAAGGACAGTATTAATTACAGATTAAGCTGGTTGGTTCCCAGCTGTCACTGCCCATGTGTAAGGGAAGGTGGCAGTATCAGTTTAAAGGCCAAATCTTTATTTCACAAATCCTTCCAAGCAGCAACATCACCCTCACCTTCTGAGCAAAACAAACCTTTCTGTGGAGCTCCAGAGCATTTAATTCTCTTTCCACATCAGCACATCAACACTGCTCACTGTTCATACACACAGAACCATCAGAGATGGATCTGAAAGCCTCACAGGGACGGCAGCAGGAGCTCCAGGCTGCCCCAGCACAACACAAAACAAACAAAGCAGCAGAGGCCAAGCCCTGGGCAGGCAGCACAGGGCCCAGGGACTCTGAGGCTGTGGCTTTTGGCCAGGGACAGTGAGGTGCTGCTGGCAGAGACATGATCCAGCACTCACCTCAGAAAACTCAGTTGTGCAATAGGCAACAGGGCTGGAGAAAGCAGAGCCTCACACCCTGGTTCAAAGTCTACAGTAACTGCTCTGTTTGCCTTTAACTCTTCCTGAGCTTAGCACGTTCCCCACAAATGGCTACATTTTCAGTGAACAAGTAACTGGGCTTGAAATAAGAAACTGTAATCGTGTTTGTTCTTACCAACACAATTACAGGGAGATGTACAACAGAATTTAAAAAGGCAAAGGTACTAAAGTACAAAATCCCTTTTTAGCTTCATAAATAATGTCTAAGGCTGACCTGAAAATCTAAGACTTTAAAACAATTATTTCAAGTGTTAAAACTGTTGCAGACATTTTGCAAGTAGCAAAGAACAGAGCTGTTCATTTTCAGAGATGACTCAGATGCTGGGGACCTTTAGAGCTTTCCTTTCCTCACCTCCAGACAACTTATCAGACCCTTGAAACAGCAGCCAAAAAAGCCTTTCACACGTGCTCAGGGCCACTGCTTTCACATGGTGGTATCACTGGGAAACCATTATGGTATCTGCTCTGGGAAATTAATTCCAGAAATGGAAAATAAACTCATATAAAGCATTTCACTAGGAAATTTCACATCCTACATGCATTTTCTAAAATGTAAAGGTGAAAAATGCAGTCAGTTAAATTGCACATGCAGCCACTGACGCTGTTTAGCTCCCACCCCTGCTCTGGGAGCAGCTCAGGGTCCCATAAAGAGGAGAAAAAAGTGAAATATTTCAGCAGCTGCTCAGGTGAATAACTGGCAGCAGGAGACTCAAACAGGCTCACTGAACACATCTCAGCCCAGAAGGGGACTGAGACTCCCCAGCTGCAGATCTGAACCCCCCAGCCCCATTTCCCAGCTCTCAGCCCCATGGTCACAGCTCTGAGTGTCACTGTGCCACCTGCACTCATCACCCCTCACACAACCCAGGCAGGCCAAAAAAGGAGCACTAAACCATCCCTGAGCTGGTGTCACAGCCAAATTCCATTTGCTCTTGCACCCAAAGAGTCCCAGGACCAGTCCTCCCCACTGTGCATCCATAGAGAATTCATTAGGGAAAGAGAATTAAGAGTAAACTCAAAAAGAAGAGTCCCAGGACAATCCCCACTGTGCATCCAGATAGAATTCATTAGGGAAAGAGAATTAAGAGCAAACTCAAAAAAACCAGTCCAGGACAAGCCCTCCTCACTGTGCATCCAGATAATTCTGTTCCCTAGTGAATTCTAAGAGCAAACTCAAAAAGAAGGGCCCCAAGACAAGCCCTTCTCACTGTGCATCCAAATAATTCTGTTTCCCTACTGAATTCTAAGAGTAAACTCCAAAGGAAGAGTCCCAGGACAATCTCCACTGTGAATCCAGGTAGAAATCATTAAGAAAACAGAATTAAGAGCAAACTCAAAAAAAACCAGTCCCAGGACAAGCCCTCCTCACTGTGCATCCAGAAAATTCAGTTTCCCTACTGAATTCTAAGAGCAAACTCAAAAATTAGAGTCCCAGGACAATCTCCACTGTGCATCCAGACAGAATTTATTAGAGAAACAGAATTAAGAGCAAACTCAAAAAGAAGAGTCCCAGGACAAGCCCTTCCCACTGTGCATCCAGATAATTCTGTTTCCCCAGTGAATTCTAAGAGGAAACTCAAAAAGAAAAGTCCCAGGACAATCTCCACTGTGCATCCATAGAGAATTCATTAGGGAAATAGAAAAACAAAATTAAGAGCAAACTCCATTTTAACCAAGCAGCCTGGCCTGAGCTTTCAATACACATCATCTTAAAGCTTCCTTCTTCTTCTTCTTCTCAGAGCATCCCTGTGACACAATAAAACTACAAATAATTTAAAATTTGGCCTCTCACACGTGGTACTCCAGCTCCCAGCAACGGCCTGGCCCTTAACTGTGACCTGAATGTGAGAATGTGGCCAACCCCAGAGTTACAGCTCAGGCTGTTTCAGCTGCCTCTGAATTCACAAAACAACGACCAGAGCAGAAGAAAACCTGGAAATCAGTAAAATGTCACACACCACTGACACAAAGGTGTGCCAGAGCCACACCCTCCTGCCATCCAGTGCCACCAAGTGCCTTCTGGCAGGTTCCTGGGGCAGTAGCTGGTGTCAGGGGGAACAGGGATGGCCCCTGGCAGCTCTGCTGGGACACACACACTTCAAAGCTGGGGATGACAACCAGAGCAGATTTACACAAAACCTCTGAAAAACGAGCAAAACCACTGCTCCTCTCCTGAACAAACAACAAAACTTCTGCCCCTCTCATGAAAAACAGCAAAACTGCTGCACCTCTAATGAAAACCAGCCCATTTCAAAGCCTTTAAGGTGCACAAAGCTCAGAATCACGTTTAGGTACTCACTTCCTTCCTCTTGGTTTCTGGGCACTCAGACTGCAAAGTGAGAGTTGCTCCTTCGATGTTCCTCGGCATGGGAGTTGAACCAGGATTTATTGTCAGGTGGATCTGATCTGGAGAAATAATGTGTTGCACGTAACCCTGTGACATCCCTTCATGATCTGCTATTAAATGAAATCCTTCTTCGTGACCCTCGGGTAAAAAAGGCAAGTGGTCACCGCACTGTCCTTCATCCTCCTCATCCTCCAGCACGCTGTGGTCCTGCTCGATGAGCACGGTTGTCCTGTCATACACCGTCCCGGACGAGGAGGACACCAGCCCGTTTTTGTCAGCGAACCTCATCATATTTTCATCCTGGGCTAAATCGTCTTCCTCCCCTTCATAGTAGACGGCGTTGCCCTCGGGGCTGTTCTCGCCCATGGCTCCGCGCCTCTCACCGCGAGCTCCGGCCGCAACGGCTCATCTACAACACAACCATGGGCGGAC